TTCTGGAGGGCTAACATCTAAACTGCAACCATAAGATGTTGCTATTAACAAAAGTTTTAAGATGAAGGTATATATAAATTTTAATTATTATTTTGTCGTTACGTATATACATATTTAAAATTAATTTTAAAAGGTCCGTGCACTATATAATCAATGGATGTCAAAAGAAATTCATGATCTTACACCTTCAAACCGTATTAAAAAACCTTCATATTCATTACTCGCTAAATGAGTAGAAATTGCGTGGGTGTCTCTTGATCCAATTTAATTAAACGTTCATTTAAATGTTGTGGGATATCTGACGAAATTGATATTTCTAACACTCATATATGATAGTTTCTTTTTCTCGTCATTGTTAATTTAAGTGATACAAATCTATAAATATAAATACGCACCATAAAAATATTCGTGCCTAAACCGGAAAGTACTTTACAAGGGGAGGGTACTATATATACAGAGCGTTTTATGGTAGTTCACGGATTATAAATTTACTCGATCTGTATTGTGTAACGTTAGACTCTTAAATACTGTACATGTATCGGTATGCCCTTCATTAAATTGGACAATTACGTATAATGTATGCACAAGTATTACATATTGTACCACGAAATAGAATTCATTAGTGAGACAAGCCGACTCTAGCCCAAATGGTCGGGTTGGGGGCGGGCTGAGGGTCGACTCATACCATTTTGATTAACGGGTCGATATACTTAGGAATAGGGTTAGGGTTTTGTAAACCAATCAAATAATGCTATCGCTATAGTTTCAAAAACAAGTATCTCTTGATTTTCTCTGTAAAAAAGGGATGGCAGGGTAAAAGTAAGAATAATTTCAAATTTGAGTAATGTGCATCCTTCACATTATTAATTTCTAAATTGGAATAAAATCATGTAATTTTTCCATTGTCTCGCAGAATAAAACTCGTAAAAACCAACCTCTTTTTCAAGCGCGTGATTTGATCAATTTTTTAATTAAGAACGATTTTTTAGATATCTATAGTATTTTCAAAAGAATACAATACTCGATCTCGAAATAAAGTAGAGAAGTTAAAAAGCTCACCGAAGTTGGTCTTTCGAGTCGACTTGACCCGGACAATTTTGAGTCGAGTTTTACTCGGAAGGACCATAAAAGACAAAGTCCCAAAAATCACATGACAATCAGGTGCTATCTTATATACGTAATTATTTCTCGAGAAACAATAGTATTAAGAACGCTGAACAAAAGGATCTTCAAGTAATTTAAAGAATTATTTTGTTTCAAAACAAAGTCAAAAATAAATAAATGTTAAAGAAATTATTTGTTTAATTACAAAAAGATGCTGATTTTAATTATATATATTAATATACAAGTCTTGTATTGTAACATATATTAATTAAATTTTTCTCATTAATAATATATATATAACCTTTTTCTCGTCTGTTTGTGGATATTATTATAGAATAAATAAATTACCTATATTGGCATCATAATTTTGTTTGCTATGGATTTTTTTATATAAAATGTGGTTGACTTTATCAGTGCATATCGATATCTCATGTCACTTGATTACTTTATCAGTGACGATACCTCTATCACATGAGAAATGAGTCTGAACTCGAACCTGACTTTAGACGGAGTCATAATTAAAACTCAACTTCAAGAGTCGAGTTGAACCAGACCACTGCAAATTTATCAGAATCATTAACGTCGCCAACAAAATTCACGCTCACATGTGGCGCAAACCAATAAGAAAACGCAAATTTTTGATCAACCCGACAAATCTGACACAAGAAAATGAAAAAAGCGAGAAATGTGAAAAAATATGGAAAACAGATGTCAAAATCTAGCTTGAAGTACCAACAAAAAATGTCTGGAAGGCAATTTTACATATAAACATTTCCTCAGCTCTAATCCAAACGATAAAATAGCCTTACCGTTAATTTTCTGTGAACATGTTAGCGTGAATTTTTGTAGGCAAATTAAGTGGAGTGATAAATATTAGCTAATATCCATTTACTATAAAGGACCACTCCGTCCTGATATTTCTTTTAACACATGCACGTGAAATTTGGCCATCCCTCCCCCCTCCCAGAATATTAGCTAATATTTCCCTAACTGTATCAAAAGAAGCACACGATCAAAATTAAATTACAAGTAGTAGAAAAATCTTTTTATAATACGTTATAATATCGTTGGTTTTGAAAATTCGTTTTTTTCTTTAAAAAATGAAACAATTTCCAAAAAAACGCGATGCCATTATTTATGATCACAATTGTGGTCAGTCTTATCCAGCGCAAAGTCCTAATTTAAATCCTATTGAAAAACCTCTTGGCTGAGATAAAAACCATCCATCAAGTTTGGAATAATTATAAAAAATTAATTGAAAATACACACCCCTACAATAAATTGCCGGAAATCCAAAAAAGCATAGTAAAACATAGTAAAAAACGAAATTATCTCTCTATAATGAAATTTTTATTTTCATTAGTAAATAATTTTTGTTTTTATATCAAAATAGAGCTAAGAATTTGTATCTCAACATATATTTTTTATAGATTTTAAATTTTAATTCAAAAATATTTCGGATTGTAAAGTTGGTCACGCAACTTTTACAGTGCTCGTCAGAAGTAACGGACCCCCCATAACTCGGCTAAAAGTTAAGATAAAAACTTCATTTTTTTTATTATGAATGCTTACAATATATCCTGATCATTAATACACTGTATAATCCCCTCAGCTTCAATTAACGCCTCAACCCATCTTCTCATGCTATAAACAAGATTTGCGGCAAGATCATCAGGTAAGCGATTCCATTCTGTTGCTAATTGTATCTTTAATCCGGTAAGAGTTCTAATTTTTTTTGCAATATTAATTTTCATCAACCTCCAGACATTCTCAATCGGATTTTGGTCGGGTAACATTGACGGCCATGGCAGAACTTCAATATCATTTTCCTGCTTCCAACGACTCACCAATTTCGAACGGTGTTTCGGGTCGTTATCCTCTTGCAAGATTCACCCTTCAGAATCGTCCCCAAAAAGATACTCAACGGATGGTAGAAGACCACGCTTGTATACCGTAACCATAAATTCAGCGTTGAAATTCTGCTGAAAGCAGACTATCTTAACAAAGCACGAAGCAGAAAAACGACCCCCACACATTGATTTTCAATCGATGTTTCACAGATCGGAATATTGTTCTTCGTCCAAAAAACTGCCAGACCTTAAATAACGACTACTTTAGACAAAAGGTGCTTTCGTCTGAAAATATAACTTTACTCCAATCAAAATTTTTATATTTTTTTGCCATTCCAACCGTTTTTCTTTATGGACATCGGAAGTAGAGGTTTGGAAAGTTTCGCCATATATTTGCCTTCACCTTCATGTAAGCGTCATTGAATAGTTTTCAAACTAACACTGACATTTCGTTTTTCCATTTCCTGTTGTATATCAGTGGCGGTTGCATTAGTTTGCTTCCGTGCAAGCTCTATAATCTTTTCGTCTTGTTTCGGAGTTGTGGATCGATTTCTGCCGGATTTCGGTTGATCACTTAGATCCTTCGTTTCCCGCCATCTTTAGACCAAACGAACCACTGTGAACTTACTACATTTAACGTATTTAGCTGTAGCTTCAAGTCCAAACTTCGGATCTTTGGGATATGTGTGTAAAAAAACGATTTCGTATCGTTGTGAATTGGGATCGACATTATTTGTGTGTAGAAGTTTGGTGAACATATCAGTCGCGTTCATCTATGTAACCCCCACTCCACCCGATTTGGTTATGATAAAAAACAGCCAATAAGAACGCATAAATTATTGATCAACCCGGCAAAACAAACCGACACAAAATGCGAGAAATGTGAAAATACAAGAAACAAATGTCTAAATCTGGTCCGGAGTACTAATGAAAAATGTCGAGAAGACAATTTTATATATAACCTGGATCACCATCCCTAACCGTAACCCTAATCCTAATCTTAAACTATCCTTTAACCTTAATCTTTATTACAGTAGAAATTTCCGAAATACGCAATGCTATTGGTTATTTTTGTTATTACCAAATCGGGTGGGGTGTACATAGATGCATCCCATATCAGTCAATAAAAGATGTCAATAATCAGTGTTTGCATTGTTCTTTGTTCTCGGAAAATATTGGTACATTACACATGATCTATGGAAAGTTAAGGGGGGTCCGACGAGCACTGTATACATGTAATTAAAATTCAAATTTACTAAATTTTAATTATAGAAAGTTTGTGTGACCAACTTTACAATCCGAAAGATTCTTGAAATTAAATTTAAAAAATCTATAAAAAATATATGTTGAGATACAGATTCTTTATTTTGATATAAAAACAAAAAATATTTATAGAGATAATTTCGTTTTTTACTATGGTTTTTTTGGATTCCGATAATTTATTGTAGGGGTGTGTATACCTAATTGAATTCAGGCTGTTATTCTTGCTAATGGTGGTCGAACTAAATATTGATTTATTAATAGATTATATAAAGAAATATTCAAAAAAATAAAATATTAATACATGAAATGAATTTTCTTATTAGATTTGTGCCATTTAATTTATACGTAAGGTGTTTGATCGCCCTCTGTAAATCATCTAAAAAATACATGTACAAAACCATAGCAACAATAAGAACCAATCTAATGATATTGTGACTCCGCTTCTCCCACCACTTTGTCTTTCATTCACTCAACATGAGTCTTAACCAGTCGGCCCGGCCGACCCGCCCGAATCTGATTGCCGTCAATCTCAGCCTGTATCACTAATCTTGATGCATGTGAGAATTTTTTTTGTAAGCTTTTTTATACGTATATGATAATAACAATGATGGCTTTTTTAGTATATGTAAATCGTGGAGCTACATAGCATATATCGATACATGTACATGTATATGTAATTTGGTGAGCTATTAGAAATATAGATACATGCACAATTCAAAGCACAAGACTTTTGTTCTCTATCGCTATGTTCATGTATTAAAATGCAGTGAAATTTGAAATTTCTTATACATGTACATATACTCCTTCATTTAACGTACTCAATTCTACAATCTCATTATCTACTCGATCAGCATGCACAATCTTTATTTGCACCTGGTGATCTTTAGGCGGCTTTCTAACCTGATTGTCTATTATTTTTCTTGACGCCAACGATGAAGAACCTTGCGGATACAACGATGCAATAGTAGTTTCCAAGTGGATCGCATTTTGTTTTTTCATTCTGTTTATCTGCCAAACTCCCACAATTGTAACTGTTACAGCAATTAATGCGCTCACAATTCCAATCAACGCGCCAGAAGAAAGCGGTGATGATCTATTATTTTCACTTTGAGTCGCGTTAGTGGTATTGCTATACCCATATGCTGGACTGTCATTGCCATTGTTAATTAACGGGTCAAGATTATGTCCATTTACGTTTGGTATTGTGTATTGATCAATGGGAATTTTTGTCACGATGTTTACTTTGTTTGTCCAGGAATCAGTTGTCATGTTATAGGCTAGCATTGAACCGAGCGGTTGTGTATTTGGCCAGGCTGGAAATCCTCCATATATCTGATCACAATTATCAACAAATTTAATATTTCTCTTTATTTAATCCTGAAAAAACAATAAAAATTAAACTTTACCAAAATTGTGTCCGATCCAGGAAACTGAACAGCAGCAGCACGATCTCTCATATACGGCTGATTTGACACATATCGATATTCTCCAATTTTCATAGTTTCCAAATCGATCGGCACCATAATCATTCGTTGATTTGCTAGTTCTTCGCCATTATTCATTACGAGAACCTTCAATTTACTATTCAAGATACCAACTACACCATCCGAAATACTCAAGGGAAATTGATAAGGTGGTGTTAAAAGCCCATGGTTAGGACTATAAATGTACGTGTAATTAGTGGGTGGCCAATTTTCCTTAACGACTTGATTTATCCCGCCAAATATAAATGCATTTCCTTTGGAAATGGCGATTCCTGCACCATTGGTTGATCTCATTTTAGTCTATAGAAATCGACGACGGTTATTAAGCAATTTAAAACTTATCAACACAATATTTATTGTTAGAGAACCTACGTCATGAGAAATGGAGGTCCAGTTCCATATAGTATTATGTAAATCAATCTGATAAATCGCCGTAGAAGAATTTTGAACATTATTAAATGTTCCAGCCCAAAAAAGCACAGTGTTTGGGGCAATCAATGCAGCTCGCGGACGATAAAGATAAGATGAAGAAAGATGATATGAGAACTCGGAAGGAATATTTTGCAAATATCTCGGGTCATTCCACGTATTTTTATTGAAATTGTACACTTGTAATCCTGGGTTCTCAGTATTTGTATTATTAGCGTTAGTAGGCTTTCCACCTCCAATTACTAATAGTAAACCTAATGTTGGCTCAACTACACATGCTGCGTCATTCAAATTTGTGGCGTTGATGACGGTTTCTTTTCGCCAGGATATTGTACTTATGTTTTCAAATGGTAAACTTGCAGAGAAAAAGAAGTCATTTGTGGTTGTTGTAGTTGTTCCACCAAATAGATAAAGTGTGTTTTTGTATGTGGCGAGACAGTGTGAATAACATGGGCCGGGGGATTGACTCGATGTTAATGTTAAGAATGCGAAAAAAAAGAAAGTAAATGTGAAGAAAAAGGCAAAGTTTATTTTTCGTTCCATTTACAATATGGACTAAGAAAACGGGAAAGAAAGAGAAGGGATGATGATGGAAAGAGATAATGTGTCAAAGAGCAAAACAAGAGAATTCAACACTAAAAACAGTAAACGCGGAAAATAATTTAATAATTATGTTATTTTTTCATTCAAGTATTCAATCGAGGATTCTTTAAAGAAATCTTACCGTTAAAAACAATGTTGCGCCAGTCTCTTATTCTGTTTAAAATGAATGAATTGGACACACCTCTGCGATTTTTAGCTTGAGGAAAAAATCAATAATGGGCGAGACCTCTTTTTCTTCTCTTCAAAAAGCTGCAATTTATCGGCACATTTTTGTTTCCATTGTTAATTATCTACCAATGAGTGATGCAAATTAAAAATATTTTTTTATATCGACATGACGAACAAAGATGGTGCATGACATTTTGTTTTGGTGCAATGTTACCCAGATCAAAATTAAGTAAGATCGTGTTTTTTGGTGATCGACAACCGACGACATTTACTGCACCACAATGACACCTATCGCTATAACGATAATCAAAATAAATGCATATTTTAAAATTCTGTAATTTTTAATTGGTAAGCCTTTAAAGTTAGGTGTCATGCACCATATCAAGAAACAGTTTAATAAATACGAAATTTGTTAAGACAAAATGTTTTAATTGATAAATTGAATTTCTTTGAATGAAAACACTAATCAAAGCATACTAGCAAAAAATTGTTAATTAACTAAAATAGTATTGTGCAGAAATTCCCGATTTGTCGTGTAAACTTACCTAGATATGTTCTACAAATCTTATGTTGGTTTACGCTTGTAATTAATGAAATTAATGATATGCATTAAAAAATGTGGCTGTTCTAGGCTTGTAGTATTATTTTACACTGACTTTACTAATTAAAGTAAAACAACATTTGATGTATTCAGTGCCTTTTCATTGATAAAAGTGACAATGGTTTTTTTGCTACATGTATTTTATTTAAGAATCGTGCATGAACTATCTTAAAATCTTCTCCGTGAATAAGTTGAAGCAGATATAAATTACCAATACCTATATGTACTGAGAGTGGCCACAAATCACAAAACACTATAAGAACTTTAAAATAATTTAACTAGTTTCTGGAAAATTATTATAGTGTTCTATTATGGAATACTTGAGATTTATCGATCACCTTTAATATTATCATAAAATAGTTAATTTTTTTTTGTTCCAGCAATATAATACTGCGGAAATCAAACAACATTGGCAGCCAATATGAATCAATCAGACTTGCATAATTTATGCCATGTTACAAATTGAAAAATATGCAAATACAAGGACACTGTACAAATCATGCGGTCTACAGGAAAATATTCAATTCAAGTTTTGCTTTGATTATAGAGTCAGATACAACAAACTTGTCCTGCGAAATTTGTAATCTCCAATTCGGAGATACTTGATGCAATTTCTAATTGAATACTGAAAAATTTAAAATTAGCTGTTTGGAATATTCGTCCGATAAATGACATCCAAATGATCAATGTAATACATTTTCTCAGTCATATGATTCTAATATCTAATTAAATTCTGTGACCATTTATTTGAGATTCTTCTTAATATGTTAAGAAATAACGTTTCGATGTCCATACCAATAAATTGTAGATCCTATGACTTGAAAAAAGATCCGTAGAAAGAAGGAGCTTTAAGAATAGGGTAATAAAAGTCGATTAAAAAAACTTGCTAAAAAAGTTCAGAATGAATGCTTTCTTTTAGATTCGAAAAGAAAAATATTAGTTGTTAATTTTTTAATTAATTCTTATGATATCAACACATGTATTTTATTTTTCTTAAGTAAATATTGATTCTGCAACTTTTTTGAACTAATTGAAAAGTATGTGTTGTTTTTATTGTATATAATTACTTGTATGCACCTGTTCACCGACACCCGTTTCACCAACGCCATATCACGACAACCCATTTCACCGACACCCTGTGTCACTGACGACATACTATTTCACCCAAAAATCGATTTCATGGATTGTACTGTATTGGAAAAAGGTTGAGGCATGATAGGGAAGTTATAGGTCAGTTCAGTCAGATTCTGTCCAAAGAACTAGATGGGGACTGAACTGATGCAAAGGGTTGATCAGATTAGATTGATACAGGGAAGGATCGAACCGGGTTGGATAATGCAGCAAAGAATTGGACTGCAGGTCGCTCCACGTAATTATGAGTCATAAACTTAGTATGGATGTTATAAACTCATATTAAGAAACTTTTAAACCATCGCTTTAATGAAATAAGAATAATATCCAAACTATCGTTCGCGACATAAGTACTTGTATCCAGAATTTTATTAGTAGCATAGAATGTGCTACCGTCGTACCTGTTTGTCCAACAAAAATAAATATCGATATTAAAATGGAAGATCAACAAAATAATGCACCAACACATACCTCAAGTAATGATACTTGACGATGACGAAACATTTCGTCACGTCAATTTGACGAAACCTTTCGTCACGACCATTTTGAAAATG